CTGCGATTCGTCTTTGATTTGTTTATGCGATTTCATAAAATATTTATCCCCGGGCATAGTTGTTAAATCGCCTGCAATGACTTTCCCTTTTGCCAGTCGCCCTTTTTCCCGCTTTTGATGTTTGATCTTGCTGACTGTTTATTTGACTTCACGCTCGATTGCCGAAAATAATTTGATATGAAAGAAATAAAGTGTAATTTTTTCTGATTCCGCTTTCGTCGGCTGATTGGAAAATCCTGCGCTTTCGGCGGAAAAAAAACCCCTGAATGTTATTAAAATTACAAACTACAAAACATTGGCCAAAAATCAACACACCAGTTATATATATTTTAACGGCCTTTCCACACAGCAAACCTAAAATAAAAGGGCAGAATGTTAAAAAAAAAGAAGAAAAAAAATGAAACAAAAAGGACTTCCAGTTTAGTCCACTTCCTGTACCGGCTCGCATTCATTTGGCCTAATAAAAAACATTCAATGAGCGAAGCATTCACTTGGCCAAATAAAGAAAATTGCCGAGAAAAGCGACGGCCATTCAAATGGCTTTCAATGGCCGCTCCTTCCTTCCGCCTTTTTTGGCCCCAACTTAGTGGAACCCCATTTGATTTTGAATGAACTTGGTGAAAATTGCCGGGGAAGCCCCCATACCTTCAGTCAGTCATTCCAAAAGGGACGAACCAAAATTAAATACACGCACTGCGAATGAGCCGGCAAAATCACACACAGCTCTATAACAAGCCAGAAAACAAGCCAACAGCCAGCTAAAAAGAATATACAAAACGAGCCAAAGAAAAACTCAGAAAATGAAGCTCATTAAAAAAAAAGGAGGCACGAAGAAGGTCCACAAATTTGAAGGTTTCCCCTCGGTTGGACAAATAAAAGAACTTGCCGAAAAGTTAGACGGGAATTGGAGGGGCAATAGAAAGCATCACAACGAATATCTTGGACTCTGTGATAGAGATGCTTATTAAGACACATCTTATTTCTAAAATGCCTGAACTCGTAGATTCTTGGTTCCATATTGACCTTAAAGCTTCCTTATTCATGGTAAAACATGTTTAAAACCCATAAATATTGTTTAAAAATTGGAATGCCCTCGTTTTCTGGTCTGCATCAATAACTTTCCCTCCCAGCTGTGTGCATCATCCGAACAAAAGAGTATCCAAAGCCAATGAGTGGAATCGCCGCCCCTCACGCCTTAGCCAACAAGCTTGCCTTTATCACCAACTCCCCTACTCAGCCGGCAACAAAAGCAACTACTAGCAACTATACAAAGCGAAACTTTCGACTTCATTTGCATACATAGCGCTCTCGAGAAATGTAATAAAAAATGATAAAATCCTCCGGAGAGCGTAGTACTACACACACAAACACACACATACAACGAAGGACAACGCTGGCACGCCCCCTTTGACCCCAGTCCAACCCTCCGCAACTTGGTAACTGGCATCTGTGCGTGTGCTGTCCCCTGGTGGCAGCCAAAGGCGGACCAAACCCAAGCACCGCCGCCGCAAACGAACCCAGGTCCCAGTTACTACCAGTTACCAGTTAACAGTTTTCCCAGTTGGCCAAAAGCCCGGTGTTGTTGGCCAGTTGGCCGGGCCGCCAAAAATGAGCTGATTTCCAACAAAGCTGCGCGGCGGTATTCATGGATTCCTGGTGACCCCGACGGGGGCGAGTGGAAGCTGCGGGGATTGAAAAGAGTCCGGAGTCGAGAGTCCGAAAACCGTAGTCCGGAGTAAAACAAAGGCCTTAAAACTAGGCCAGCAGCTGTGCTGATTTGGGGGCGTGTGGAAACTTTGAGCGTTTGTGTTGATATTTCCACCCCCTCAACCGAAAAAAAAAGCAGCCAAAAAGCCCACCAGCAGCGATTTCTTTGCGCTTTTCAATATATGTAGGAACCAGGAGGGGCCAGCATGGGTTAATGTGGCAGGCAGGCAGCACCTAAAACCAACCAATTAAAGCGAATTTTTGCCTTTCCTTTTGAAACTTTTTGCCAAGGGGTCGTCCCGTACGAGCTTCTCTTTTTTTTTTAGTATATTAAATTTAAAATAAATGTTAATGAAACGCCATTTAGAGGGTCGGCACCAGAAAAAGGATCGGAGGCTGTCAGGACTCATGATGAAGGATTGCTGCTATTTTAGCCAGTGTAAAATAATACGAGGGAAACACCATCATGAACCCACACACTCAATGAGCAAACATCTTGTCCAAACAAAGCCAATCAAAGGAGTCCACATTCTGGTCTTCAACTGGCCCCGAGAACTGACAACTAATTATGAATATGTTTCAGCACATGAAATGCCTCACACAGACACACATTGGCATTAAAACTGACCAAACAAAGTTCCAGTTGAGTCTAATTTGGCTGCACCACCACACATACTCAACTTATGCAAATAGAGCTGACCGAAAAGTTATGGGTGGCAAAAAGGAAAAGGGGTCCGAATCCGTCCGACAACGCCATGAAAATGACAATAATAAAATTTAATGTACACACAGACGCATGTGCATGTGGAGCAGGTCCTCCCACTGTGTGTGTGTGTGTATGTAAATGTCCTTTGCAAACCGTAAAAACGTTTCCGACAGTTTCCTCTCCCCTCAACCGAATTTTCACCCGAAATGAAAGAAAAGCTACAGCGTCATCATGCACTGGGAGAAATTTAAGTAATATTTTGGGGAATCATGATTTTGAATTTAAATTATTTGAGAAGTCAGTAAAATAATCAATACAAATGCTTTTTTAAATGAATTTATGTGGAATATTATTTAATTTAATTTTTTAAATATTTATTTTCCTCTCTGCTTAGTTAAAGGGATAAGGATGAGGAGCCAGAGCTGTTAGAGTTGAAAGTCATCTAGTTGACTAACAGCCGCAGTTCTATGACCAAACACATACATATATATAGCAATAAGGGGGCGTGGTAGTCAGGGTCTGAGGAAGTTCATTGCATGCCAACCCAAGAGAGGATGAGGTGATATGCAGGGTGTATGTGTAGATGGGTGTGTGTGAGCCGGAGTGTGTGCAGCAGACCAAAACACTTCCTACCGCTTTGGCCAAGTATCATTAAAAATATAAAAGTATTTTATGCCACACAAAGTACGACAGTCTAGTGTCCTCGGCTTCATTTTCCCCACCGCTTTTCCCTTTCTCCGCCCACTCATTTTATATTTTTTGTAATTTCTATTTTTTTAAGCACTTTTATAGAACGTTGTCTGGGGGCAAGTCATTGTCATTTGGTCAGCTGCGAACAGCTGCCAGCTGCAACAGCCACCCATATCCACACCACCATCCACATCCTCACACACACACACACGCACCCACTTCGTAGAATTTTCCGCACCACCCAGATGGGTCACTTCATTATCATGTTAATTTTGTTGTAATTTGCTTGCTAAATGTTGCCAAGTCGTTGGCCATTTTTCCAGCATTTTTCCGGACCGGCTTCCAAGTGTAGTCTGTGCTCCTCCGGCTGTGCATATTTAACTTTATTTATGGTTTTTGCATGCTTTCATATGGAAAATTAGAATTTTTGACTTGGCTTTTCTCTGCACACCCCCCTTCATGCCCTGTACTAATTTGCCAACTATTTTGCAAAGCAAAGTTTCCTTTTGTCGTTCGGGGCAAGTTTTTGGCCGGACTACAAAAATATGCCTCGGATTATTATTGTCATACGAAGGAAAGGATAGGAATAGAGAAAGGAAAAGGGCAACTCAATTGGCTGACTGACTCTTCCACTGCCTCATTTTCCTTGTGTAACTCGCCGATAATGATGTCGCCAGTTTCCCAGTGTCTCTGTGTCTGTGTGTGTTTGCCTGTAAGTCAATATTTTTCGTAACGCTTATGCTAATTATGCGACATGTTGACAGGGAACTGTGAACTGTGTCACAGTGTGTTTGGGCCTAATTATACCCACGAGGACAGCTCATTTTGCCCTTTTCGGGGCAAAGTTTCCTTCGGGAAACCCATTGAAACGTAATTTGATTTATTCATTAGACCATTGTCGCCGATTAGATCCACTCTGGCACTTGTTTATCCGCTCAATTTGGAACCCAGTCAGGCTATCTCCTCTAACCAAACAGCAAATTGAAAGGGGTTGCCAAGGCAGGGTTAGATTAGGGCCACACATGGCCAGGCGGACTACAAAATAATTGACAACAGGACTCAGGGGGAAGGAGTTGGAAGTTGCAGCTGAAGAACCGGAGAATTGGAGAACCGAAGTTGGCTGTCCAACTGACTGACAGAAGCTGGCCAATAGACGGGAATGGTCAAAACCCCGGCTGCAATCGCTCCCGAATGAGAGGAGGCTGCTGTCTAAATTGGAAATGTCATTGAGGCGTTTAACGTGAGGAGCAGCCCCAATGACAACGACAACGACATCCGACTCCTGCTCCAGCTCCAGCACCAATTCAAACTCAAACTCCGTCTGCAACTTCGATTCCTGACTCGAACGTGGGCAAAATCATTTAAAGCGGCTGGCAGGATTCAGCCAAGCTGAAGCCGGAGTTTAGAGCCGTGCACTGAAAGAAATTCAGATATCTCTTTACTTGACTAAAGTTAATGTATTAAGTTAAGGTAGTGATATCTCAAAGGCTAGGCATTATGAATTAATTCTTAGATTTTAAAACGGAAATCTGTAATAAACTGAAAAAGAATTATGAAGAATTTTTCGAATATAAAGATAGTTTGACCTTTTGTTATCAATCTTTATGCTTCACTTCCTTTATGTTTAATAAGTACCAAGAATTTTCGCTCTGTGTATCTAAGGCTGGAGTGGCAATCGGCCATCAAATGACAGCCAATTGTTGCAGTCGGCCACTTAGCAGCTGAAGGGGAAATCATTCGCTTACCTGGGCAGACATTCAGACTGCGAGGCATTCAGACTTGGACAATCGGTTTGGGGCGACGATTTGACAAAAGCAATTTCAGGGATAACCCAGCCAGCCTGCAAGTTTTATTTAACCCACCCAAATCTCACCCTCTTTTCACCTGTCTTCCGCAGACAACAAATTCATTTGCGACTGTCGTCTGCAGTGGATCTTCGAATTGAAAAATCGCACACGTCACCTGCAGCTGCGTGACTCGCTGGAGGAATTGCACTGCACGCTGCAGGAGCCGAAACTGTCGCACTTTGTCGACCCCGTGCCGCCGACTATTCTGGACGTGCTCAATATCGGAGGATTCACGGCGATTGGCAGCAATAGCGCCAGCATGGGCGGTGTGGGCAACAGCGTGGTCGGAAGCAGCTATAGTGGTTTGACTCTGGACGACACCAGGAAACATTCGGCCAGCAGATCCCGACAGGCGTTGCGAGGACAAAGGCAATTCGCTTCCAATGCTGAGAACGTGGTGGAGTCCAAGATGCGCAAGAGGAGGAAGCGACAGCAGCAGCAGGAGGATCTCAAGCAGAAGGACCTGGCGGCAGTGGCTCCGACACATAAGCGATACGATTACTACGATGATAACAATGGCGGCATGTCCTTGGGTCATGGTCTGGACCTCGATGACAATCTCAGCCTGCATAAGCAAGGATTCTATGGAGCCGGTTCACCTGTAGTTGGTCACAATGATGTCGATGTCCTAATGACATCGCACTCCGTGTCCGGAGATGACTTGGACATTCTGACCAACAAGAATGCGATCAACATCAAGCTGTTCCTGTTGAAACCGGAAATGCTGCCCTGCCACGATGAACTGAGCGATCCCACCGAGCTGCCCCTCTCCCGAGATTTGATGGATGTACGCAGCAATGTGGGTCAGGACATGTCGACGGCAGGAGCTGATACTTTGACCCAGCATGGCATGGCCCTGCTGGTGGCTCTATTCGCACTTACGGTTAGCCGGGGTTGAATACTCTTGCGAGAGCCACGCCTCTGAAACGGTTGCTAAATGGTGACCCCAACGTTTGGTTCTACATTGTACATACTGTCTTGGAGATGTGGTGCCCTTGGGAAACGAGCTTCAACACGATAAATACGAAAGATACCAGCTACAGTCCTGTAAATATGTAAAAAGGGGTAACGAAATTCGATAAATTTACTACTATAAACCTAGCTGATAGCTGTAATGATAGACTCGACTTTTCACTAACAACTTCAGCAGCAGATTCAGAATCAGATTCAGATTGAGATATATAGCGAAAAAAAAAGCAAAAAAAAACCGAAACTACAAACCCAAAACGAACCCAAAAGAGAACCTCCGAGCAAACTGGCGTTTCATTTAAAAAGAAGAGATACTCAACTTACCGCAGGATGACGACTACCACTACACTCTACTACATAGTATTAGTTTAAACGGTTAGCCATAGTAACACTTTTGGTTTACTTGTGCAAGGTACATACTACAGTAAAACTTGGAAAGCGCTAAACGTCTTAGGTGGAGAGACAGAGCTGGCCAAAACAAAAAACCACTAAAATGAGGCATGCCTGTAAGATAAACGCAAACGCAGAACATGACACAATCGCTGAAAGTTGCAACGATAGCCGTTAGTCGATAGGCAATAGACGATAGCAGATAGTCGATAAATGATAAATGATAAATGATAAATGATAAATGTAATAGGTAAACGTAATATTTCCCCGGCCACCCCGCAAGTTCTCGTTAGAGTTTAAGTCTGCTTTTTAGTTTTAAGACTGTTTGCTATCCTAAAACTGTCGCCTGAATTTCCCTTACACAGCCCGCCACCGCCCCCCCGCCCCACCGGGGCAAATAGAGTTCTCCTTCAGGGCGAACACTCTTCTGCTTTACTCCTACTTTCGCCGCACCAGATATGAAAAGGAAAAACAAGAAATAAAAATGAATACATTGCGAATTTATATAACTTATTTGAATAGATTCAAATTATAGCAAACAAAGGCATAAAGAGATATTATAATAAAAAAAAAAACAAAAAACAAAACAAAACAGAAATATGCATAACGATTTTTGTAGCTTAAGACTGAATATATAAAGGTAAATTATGCTAATATATACAAAATATTTATATGGAAAAATACTGTATGTTTAATTGTATTGTAATGAATGCAAGCTGGGGGAAAGGGTAATGTCATTTTTAGAGAAAAACCAAAAATGCCGACGATTCGTGCATTCAAATTAGTCTGGATGCATATTACACTTTATTTGGCAATTTATTACGTATTTAATTATGCACAAACCTATGATTTACCAAAAAACAAAACAGAACAAAAAACCCAAAAAAAAACTGTTTGATTAATGTGTTTAATAATTCATATACAAAAAGAAGTTAAAGTAAGCAAAAACCAAATGAAAATTTATTGTGTAAAAAACAAGGGGAAACGTTTACATAGAGAAAACCCTGGAAAAGAAGGGGAGCAGCCGAAAAGGGAAAGCCAGAAAAGTAGAACGCCGAGCATAAGGAGCAAGCATAGTTTTAGTGGACAATCAGCAGATAAGTGAAGTGAAAGTAAGCAGCAGGAAAATTGGGGAAAATCCCGAATAGCTGGGAAGCAGGAACGCGGAAAAGCGTGGGCAAGGAAACTCAAAGCACTTGAGACAAGCGAAATAATAGATGTGAGCAAAGCAGAAAAACACAAAACTATTTTAAGTAAATGGATATAAGCTAAATGTATTTAGTGTTTTGATTAGCCACTAAGAACTTAAACACAACCAAAAAATGAAAACCAACAAAAAAAATACAAAAAAATAAATGTGAAGAAAAGTGAAATCTTAAACAAAACAAAAAAAAAAGAACTTCTAGTTAAGCAGGGCACTAATTTCATTATTGTTGATACTCAGCCACTTTACACTCATTTCATTTGATTGTCACGAAGTTACTATGCTAGAGATTGTGAAAGGATTTTCAGTTGCCTCAAGGGCGAGTCGGGCGAGATTCGATTGACTTAGCCCATCTCTGTCTAATGCATTAAATGCTTGTAATAAATTAATAACGAACACGAACAACTTATTTAATATTTAGCCTTAAGAATTGAGAAATTTTAACCAAAGATTTTGCGTTCCTCTTGTTGCCTAAGATCATATAAATTTGGTTGTTTTGTTTCTTTTTTTTATGTGCCACTCGAAATGATTTGTAACTCCACTATTTTGTACGGCTAAGCAGCGCATGGAAGTAGGCAGCGAGTAAAGTAATTTTTAAATATTAACAACTAAATGTAGCTTACTTAATTATTTTAACTTAAATGTACACAGAGCGAACGGAAAGCAAGCAGCAAATAATATAATCCAAATATAAATGTACTTGATGTAAGAAGTTTGCTAAATTGAAACCGAAACCGAAACCGAAACCAAAAACCAAAACCGAAAACGAAATGTCAACCCCAGCCCACATAGAAAACGACCATGAATGCCAGGACCTTTTCGGGCATGAGACTGATAGGGGGCATGGCGCTAACAGAAAGCCAAAACCAGAACACATTCCAACTGCAATATTTTGTTTAACTTTTACTTTCACTGGTGCCCCCCTGTCCATAAGTCCTACCAATGCCGTTGAGGTCGCGCTGCGCTCATGGAACCCAGAAAACAATTTTGAAAGAAAAACCATCTAAATATATTTAATGTAAAAAAAATAAACCAAAAACAGTGTTTCTTCTTATTTTATTGTCTTGACGTTGATGTTGCCGTTTCTTTAGCTCGCCCAGCACAAAGCATCTTCTGGTGCGCTGCCTCGAGTAAAACTTGAAATATTAAAATGCTTCCTGGACCGGAGCCGCCTGTTTATCACTTCCGCAATTTAAGCGCGCACAAAACATTTCGGCACATGGCTCGATGGCGCCGTAAAATATGCAAAGCTTTCCCCAACTCCCACTTTGAGAAATTCCGAAATGCAACCTCCTTCGCCTCCACCGCCGCAGGACTCACGCTTCTTTTGTGCGCGGATATTTTGCTAAATTTCATTATTGACTGAGGCAGCCGCATACGTTTCACAGCCATTCATTCAGGTAGGCATAAGAAATTGCCAGCCCATTAAAGCCTCCACCCATCATCACTCATACGCCGCGTTGCCCTAATAATAAAGTTGTATGCACATCGTTTCGCGGATAAAACTCGGCCGCATGTTCCTGTGGGCGTGGCACTGCACGCGAAAGTGGAAAATGGCCAGGAAACCGAAGGGGGAAACTCGGAAGGGGGATAACCCCCCCTCAGCAGCAAAGTGATAAATTGGATCCAAACGGTGGAGCAGATTTATTGATTTCATTGGGCTGCTGCTGAGCAACCGAGCGGCACGTCAAATTGAATAGACGCCATCGGCGACAAAAATCAAAAACAGATATGCAAATAAAGCACACACACACACACAAAGATACACATTTACACGTACCTACAAGGACAAGTACCATGTGTGTATGAGTCAGAAAATGGCGTAGGAAAAATGGCAACGGGCAACGGGAAAAACGCGCTTTTTGCCCATTTACTCCCAGCGTGTCAAATTTTTGCAACTGATTATGCCAAAGGCGCCAACGCTGGAGTTCACAATGCATGTATGAATGGGTAAGGGGTGGTCCTAAGTGGGTTGGAGTAGTGGTGTTCCTGGGTCCTGGAAAAGTGCTCGGCTTACGTCACACGGGTTGCCAGACACGTTGCTAGACGATGTTATCAAACAAAACCACGGCGACAACGGCAACGGCAGCTAAGTGCGGCCTGCCAAGTGCCCGCGGCCCAATCTGAAGTGGGTGGTTAGGTGGCAAGACGGTTCGATGGTGGTGCATTGGTGGCTATTATTCCGCGATATGCCAAGCAGCGACAGTCAGGGAGAAAAAATCAATCAACCGAACGGCTTTGACACTGCAGCCCCTATCGGAAATGCGAAAATGCCAGAAGGAACCTCCGGTCCTGTTTGCTTTGAGCTTGCAGTTCCTTTTCCATTACCAGAATGCGCTTTGAGATCAACCTTAGTCCCGTTGAGTGAACTCTCCACCACAGTTTAGCCGGCTTACTCAACCCTTTGGTTATGTTTTTTTTTCCTTTATATATGTATTTTTTTTTCTATTTCCCCAGAACGACGAAAGGCAAGTGCAACAGCCGGGGCACGTGATTGACATCTGTCTATGGACTGGGGCCAATATGGCGTGCGATTTACGTGGCTTTATTATTACCTTCGCTACATATGTACTTTTTTATGCCCGCCGCTCAAGGACTGCAAAGGGCTTATTGCGGTGGTGGATGTAAAAGGGTAATAAATGGAAAAATGTAGTCCTCACATACTCATAAATAATACATATGACGTATTAGTCAGAGTGCCGATTTGGCAAGATAATTGCCTTTCCCATAACTTCATTCAAAGTGAACAGATTATACTTTTATAATTTTAGAAAAAGGTTTCCACTATAAATATAATATCAAAACTCTTCCTTTTAACCTTCTGAAAAACGTTTTTATCCATTTTCCATAATTTTCAAGGCTTATGACAGCTTTCGTGAATGACAATCTATGTGTGTCTATGTGTGCAGGCAACTTCATTATAACTTTTACGATTCCACATATGCTGGCTGACGGCAAATTGCATTTCACGGCAGCTAAAAGAAACTTGCCGATCCAAGCTAATGAAATACAGCAGGCTGGCGTATCAATAACGCAAATGAAGCACTCTCCGAGGGCAGAGAAACTGGAGCGGGTTCGGAATCGGGATCCAAGAGCCGTGCACACTAATAAAGTTAACATGGCAAACAACTCGGCAATGATGTGAACTTTATGCGCAAGCTAAATGTCGTTTGATGCAGCGACACGATGACGACGTCGCCACGCTCCGTCGGATGCGATGCGCCCAGCTAAAAGCTTTTGGCAAAAAACCCAACAAAAAGGCAGCTCACGAATGGCGGAATAGATGCACAGGTAGAGGCAGAGCTATTGGTAAAAGGTTTCCAGCCAAGTGAACCGTGCACTTAAACGGAAAAAAGACGAGGTGACGAGTTAGTGTGTGGGATAGAGTCGACTTGGAAGTACCGGCTAATAAATGACAGACATTATGGATTTATTATGGGTTTAAGACCAAAAATCGTAGTAATTAGTTGCATAATTCCTTACTACTTTTACTTTTCTACCACTTCTTTCATCACTAAGAACTCATAATACCTCTTTGACCTTTTGAGTACTGGGTAAGGTTGCATCAGCGTGCATCAAAATGCCAGCTTGAAATTTAGTTTCGAGTAGCGCTACGTTTATTATTCAATTATAATGGCAGAAACGGTCAGCGTTTTTTAGAGACAAACCCCACAGGGAAATAAAGATAAATGTCTTAAAGGGCAAAACCCACAGTCGAATACGTTATAGCCCAAAAATTCATATGCCCAACTAATAACATTCATCGGCATTAAAGTGATAAAAGGATTTGATTTCTTTTTTTTTGTGGGCCAACTTTGCTGAGCCAACTTTGTCCGCTGCACTTTCCTCACCTATGCACAATGTGACTGATGTTTACAGCCATTGGCCATTGTCCCAAAGTTTGCTCGTCGGGCTTATGACTTAGACCAGGCCATAAACCGATTTGTGAATGCGTTTTTATGCAGAATTCTGAGTATTTTTGGCTACAAACGGTAACCGCAAACTGTTTGCCAACAGACAAGTTCGTGTTTACCCAATAAAAGACAAGAGACCAAAGGTGAATTCGAAGAAATGACATCTTGACCACAATTCCAGTTCGAAATGCGGCCGGATGAGAGCCGCAGTCCTGGTCGAAGGATCAACCTCACCCCATAGACAAAGTGCTTACTTTGTGTATTCTTTTTTTTCCCGAATGTCGTTCTTTAAAGAGAAGTAGAGAAGAGCAGCCCGAATCGAAGCGGCATTATTAATAACCTTTTCGGTGCCGACCAATCGAGGCTGGCGTCTTAATTAGCCCACAGAAACTGACAGGACAGCTGTCCTGCGACCACATCTGCACATCCCGGCACAGCCGAACATGAAATGTGTCTAATGAAGTTCTCTGGTGATTTATGGCCCGAACATTTCCGCCATCTCCGACTCGATTCGAACCTATAGCTCCTGCAGGACCTGCGACGATTAATAGATGTCACTCAATACGGACGAGAAGAGCGAGCGCCAATTTCCGAAAACTAGCAACCTCGAGGAGTGTCCCGACTCCTTGCAAGTTTAATGGCTTCGCCCGTTGGCCAGGACATGGGCCGGGTTTATTACTTTAAAATCGCTAAATGCCCCATAACAGAGACACAAGGCGTGGTGGTGTAAGTTGCCAGCTCATAAAAAAGCTTTAAAAGGTCATAAATATAAATTGAAACTGCGTTGACAACTTGCCAAACGAGAAATAAAATCAGAAGGCTTTATCAGTAATTCGAAAATGAAAAAACCTAAGACTTCCCTGGCTTACCTTTTAATTTAACTTGGAATAGAGGATCTGTTCAAGCCTCTTATTCACCTGCAATTGCATTAAATAATCTTTTGCCGGCGTGAACCCGCCAACACCTTAAGAATATGCCAAAGCGTCAATCGTTTTTCAAGGAATTACACTTAAAAAAAAACTATCTTAAAATTAAAACAAAATTAACAAAGGTCTGAAAACTTTAAAATACAATTTTCCTATTGAAAATATTATAATTTAAGAATGTAGATTGTAAAAATAAATAACTAATAGTAGGATTTGGTTTTCATTTCCCCCAGTGAAGCTTAGCTAGGTGGGCCCATAAAACGGCAGACATTCCCTCTTAGGGTCGTTGCCTTCTCTTGGCCAACTCTTTAAGCCGCCTTTCACGCAATTTCTTTTATTATGTCGTGGACTCTGGTATTGCAGTTTGATTTTATTTTTAGCAAATAAGCCGAGGCAAATAACAACAGCGCCTGGCGTTGGAAGGCTTTGTGGCCCGAGTTCCACCTACACCTCCATCTCCGCCATTTGAACTCCACCTACCATTCTCCTTTTGGCTCTCACGCTCCTCTCTCAACGAATGACCCTTGTTGTTGCTACTGCTGCTGCTGCTCCTCCAGAGTTGCCTGGTTACGCAACTGCCTGTAGAATGGCAGCCCACCTCCCGCATTGGCAATCATTTCTACGGTCATTTGGCGTTCGCCGTGCGCGCTACTCAGCCTTAAAATTGGAAAAATGTGCTGGCCAGGATGCGAGATGGAGCTGGAACTGAAGCTGATGCGGATGCTGAGGCCGAAGTCCCGGCTAGATGCTCGTCGGATTTTATGACTGGCGCTAAAAATGTGCAGCGCCCGGCGGCTCGAGTGCAATAAAAGTAAAACACATTGCCAAAGCAACTTACTGCAATATTTGCGCAATATGGCAGGCAGCTGTATAGCCATAGAGGGGGTGATGGAGGGCAGGAGGTCATCTGTGGGTGCTAGACCGTATTGGCAAAGTCTGGCTGGGCTTTCTCGACTGCTGCTGCTGCGTTCATTATTTATTTTATTTTATTAGAAATTATTTAGTGCTGCTGCAGCGAAGAATGGAACGAGGGAGGCACGACCGGATTCCATTTATTGTTATCTCAGTCATTCAACATTTGCGCTGCAGCTGCAGCAGGATGGACAACGGCAGGGCAAGGACAACGGCAGTGCATTAAAGTTGATTAATTTTATTAGTCCTGTGACACAGAAGCAAGTCGCCTGGATTTAAGGAGTTTC